CTGAACTTGCCTACGCCTTACTATTGCAGCTGTTCAGTACCAAAAAGAAACATACACATCTATGCTGTAGAGAAGCATCAACTTCCATCATTCCCATGAATGTCCTTCCCTGGGGCCCTCTGGCTTCTCCCCAGGGAAAACCATGTGCACCTCACATGTCACCTGCTGACACTGAAACCAATGGCAACATTTCCAAAGATCCAGGATTTTCCCCCACATTTTAATCTGATAATTTGTTGTCTGCCTGCAGCTAGCTGGTGCTGCTGTGCATCCAAGAGAGCTCAATTTCTCTTGGCTGGAATGAATCAGCTTTGTTAGAACAAATCCATGGGGAAAGTAAAGATCTCCCCTTTGACTAAACACGGAGATGCAGAACTTCAGCCATTGTTTAGGAGATCTGTTGGCACTCACAGTGTTTTCCTGTATAGCACCTCTATTCCCCCTGCTCTGAGGCCAAAGGGCAATCTACAGTCACATTCCTCATTTACCCTGACCCTGCTGCTCTGGGCAGTAAGCTTTGCACAAGGAAATGACCTGATGTAGCCCTAAGTACACAGAAGAAGTTATATTTCAGCAATTTATGGTTTATGTGAAGCCCTACAGTTTACTCTCACCTCTCTTACACAAGCATTTTGGTGTGAAAGAAATTAATTCTGCTACTGCAAGGTCCACATCACTTTCTGCTGTATTATACTTCAAAATGTGTATTTTAATCTGTATTACAATTTTAAAATAGCATATCACATTCTCTCTCCTCTAGATTTTGGATTATCAGAATAAGGTATATTTTCTTATACACTAAAAAACTTACCAGAAACAATAAGCTTTGTGTCAGTTCCAGAGACTTTTTCCAGAGACTTGTATTCACTGTATACAAGTGCTTTGCAAAAATCCACTTAGTCACAAAGTTTTTAAAACCCCATTTTGAGTCCCAGCCTAGGCTTATTTTCTTATTAAAAATGCATGTTTCTTTTGACACTCTGATTTCTATAATTAAAACTTTCCTTAAAATATGGTGTATTTATAAACCTGTGTTTGCTCATAGAACAGGTTTCACTTGTTAGTCTCTTAAATAAAATAAGATTTAAATAAATAAGATTGCATGTACACAAAAAATAAGGTTTTGGAATACTGACAGAATGGAGAACGGAGCCATATTTTAACAGTGGGCATTCAAAATCACGTAAATATTTACGCAGATTCTGCGCACCTGAGATTTTTAATTTTCTAGACTGAGACTCCTTCAGCATCCCCTAAGGTTTCTATGGAAAAAGTGAGGAACGGTAAAGGTTATCACCTTGACTGCATGGGAAATAATGCATTTATATATCTGTACATGTACATCTATGCATGAATATCTATCCTAAAACAAGAACCTAGTGCTGCATGCTGTCACCAATTCAGGCTGATCTTTTTGGGCCATGGCTTTAGGATAACAGAGATCATTTTGAACATGGGAATGTTCACAATGAAACCTGTTTGCAAAAATTGTCTTAAAAGAATCTGATATTGAATTCATCTTCATGCCCATGAAATCCTTGATATTTTAAAGCCATTAGCAAATGTTCCTATTAATATTCATAGAATCATAGAATGGTTTTGGTTGGAAAAGACCTTTAAGATCATTGAGTCCAACCATCAAACCAACCCTAAGTCCGCCACTAGACCATGCTCCTAAGCATGACATCTACTCGTCTTTTAAACACCTCCAGCAATGGTGACTCAACCATCTCCCTGGGCAGCCTGTTCCAGTGCTTGACGACCCTTTCAGTGAAGAAATTCCTCCTAATATCCAACCTAAACCTCTCCTGGCATAACTTGAGGCCATTACCCCTTGTCCTATCACTAGCTACGAGGGAGAAGAGACTGACCTCCACCTCTGCAACATCCTTTCAGATAGCTGTAGAGGGCAATAAGATCTCCCCTCAGTCTCCTTTTTTCCAGACTAAACAACCCCAGCTCCCTCAGCCGCTAGTCGTAAGACTTGTGCTCTAATCTGGCTTCATTGCCCTTCTCTGGACATGTCCTTTTTGTAGTGTGGGGCCCAAAACTGAACACAGTATTTGAGGTGCAGCCTCACCAGTGCAGAGTACAGAGGAAGCTACTAATCTTCCCCTGTACAGGGGATATTAATCATAGTAAGAAGCTTTCACTCCACAGATATCTTTTGAGTGGTCACATCTTCCCTTATTTAGGTCTTAGAGCTCCATCCTTCTGCCCTAACAGTCATTTGGACTTTCAGGTCTGTTGGGTTTTGACTCAGGGTTTCATGTTTTCTGCATGAAGAATATACTAATGCAAGCTAATGCATCCATTAATGTTTACCATTTTGATTTACAAGTCAGTTTAATCCAACTTCAGGTAATGTATAAATTAATTTAATTATAATTATATTTAGGGAACATATGTTTTATAATATAGAATTAAAAAATAATTGTAGCTTTTTCACCCCTGAACTTCAATACATTTGATGAAAACAAGGTAGGTACTTCAGTAATATTTAGGAGATAGCACTTCAAATATTGCTACCATAATTTCTGCTAGAAATGTTAGTAGACAGTTCCTTTTATTATTTCAAAATAAGTTAGCAATATGCTTGTGAGTTGTTAGGGAGGCCCAGCTGCAGCTATAGCAGAAAAGATGACAGAGGGAAACCATCTCCATGCTGGCTGACCAAGCCACTCTGCCTCTGTACTGAAGAAAAAAACCTGGTTCAGTCTCAGCTTTCCTGTTGCGACCTTGTGAGTGCATAAATTCCCTAGAAAGATACTTACAGAAGAATCCTGTATTGCCAGTTTATGTTGGATTAATATTCTTGGTCTGTAAGCTTCAAAATGCTCATCTATTCTACCAAATGCAAATGCCAAACCAGTCTCTCAAATCCCAGCCCTTCTGTTACCTGCATTATTGTAAGTCTTGAGCAACTTTCTTTTGGTCAGTACTAATAAAAAGAGACCAACAAGAGCAAAATCAAGTTCATTACAAGTTGATGGGAATTTGGCTCTTTATATGTTTGTCTCTTTCAGTATAGATCTGGAAAACGATTCTGCTCAAGCTCAAACCCTGATGATTCAAATGAATTAAGGTCACTTATCCTAAATCCTGGTTTTCTCCTTTTCTTTCCATCAGGAGTAACTTACTGAGCTAATGTTGGATAGTTGCCTATGAAAAGACAAGCTGTGAGGAAATGCCTGATCTTAATCATGAGGTAACTACAGCCCTTTTACTCTATTACAGTCAGAAGCCTTGGCCTTATAAAGACAAAATCCTACAGAATTAGAGTGGTGCTTGAAAATAATTTATTTTGAACTGTAGATATTAAAAGCATGGCAACTACCTGTTTAACAAGGTAAGGATTGTCACTATAAACAACACACTAATCCTGACACAGGTATTCCTATTGAATTGTAGTTTTGATTTACTTAGTCTTTCTGACATAAATAATATAAAACAACCTCTGCTTGATATGCTAATGTAAGTTTATGTATTTAACCTGGCTTAAAACAGTTGGTAGCAGTAGTTCCCCTGCCTTGCATTTGTGTAGTTGTTTACTCTAGGATCATGGTGTTCATGTTTAATGTCTTTTGAAAAAAGAAAGAAGAAAAGAAAACGAAGGTTTTTGTCCTCCACTTTCAATTAAAATAAATGTATCTGCAGGAAAGGCAAAAAAAAATTGATCACTTCTTAATATGCGTGTTATTAAGCAATAAGAACATTTGGCTGTACTGATTTATTACTGAAGTGCTGTGTACATAACAAAAAATAATTAGAGACAAGTAATTTCACTTCTACTAGCCTAATTTAAAAAGGATTTTGGCAATGGCCGTTGCATGTTGCTCTTTGTATCTGTATTGGGAAGAGGTTTTCTTTTTTTATGCTTAATTCACAGCTGCTTGATACCCTGCTTATTCCTTCAGTACAGCTGTAGGAAAAAATGAGGGCTCTGTAAACTACTACAGGCCATTTTCCACCACATTTCCAGGGAGAAGTATGATTAAAAGTGGCTCAAAATAGCTCCTTTTCAGAAATGTTTGTGATCCTGAAACACTGCATTACAAATACAGCAAGGCTCACTGTAGGAATTACAAGCTGGGCAGAGAAATCCTGCACAAGGTTGGTGCCAAATGAGGCTCAAAGCGGGTTGAGTGCCCACTGGGACAATGTAACACTCACCAATTTCACACCCCAAGCTCCTGTATAGAAAACAGCATTTAACTTACCTGACACAATGAGTTTTGTACCAGAGCCAAACACCTTGTTGTAGTAACCAGTCACAGTGAATAAAGTCTTTGCAATAACAGTGCCGCTCTGTTATCTTTATATAGGTAAGTAGTATTCTTTAAAGAAAAAACCAGATTTGCTGTATAATCAATTTTTAGACCCTAGAAAAGTAAAAAAGGAGCAGCTGCCTAAACTAATCTAAAAAAAAAAAGGTGTGGAGGTTTTTGAGTGCATGTAAGTTGTTAAATGAACAGGATCCTTCGTAACTAATTTTAGTCTCCATTTCTGCTTTCTGGAGAGAGACAGCACCAGCAGAGAATCTATTTGATCAGATATTGGCCAAGAAATTTGCTTCTTATACACCCCCATAAAATCAGACCTCAAACTAGTGAACGTTATACTGAAATCTGAGCAGCACAAGGCCCCTGACCAGTATTTTTGTTGTTAGTAACATGAAGAAAAACCCTGCATGGATTGAAATAAAATCTTGCACTAATGAGATACACCATTTTCAGATGGCCAAAATTAGGCAAACTGTTTTCATCTCAGGTGCTTAGCTGAGCCAAATCACAGGCAAGTATCAAAGCACCTGAGGTTAACTTGAAGCAGAATAATTTTGATAAGTATGTCAGAACATGTTGAGTTTAGAATTCATCCTCAGCAATAACTGATAATATGTAGTTTCTGCAAAAGCGAGGAAGAGAGAGCAGCCTTTCACCTATGTGTATTTTCAGGGAGTTCTGGGCATATCTCAGATAACTCCTTTCATTTGGTATAGTCAGTCATAGTCCTAGAGGAAAACATTTTGCTTTTCAAAGAATTTGAGTAACCTAAAGATTTGACACTTTTCTTTCAAAATGAATTAGAAATATCACAAAAGTTGAATAAGCATATTTAAAGACAAAACCATATTCCAGTTTTTCAAATGCTATCTTTGTCATATTTAAATTAATCTTTTAAAAAAAATAATAATGGAGTTAGTTATACTTCTGTGCTACAATAGCTGTTGTGTTTTCCCTATTTCGTACATAAATACAGAACAGTAACATGTTCTGCATATGGAAATGCTGTTTAAGAGGAAAGTCCTGCAAAGCCTTCAGTAGGGTTAAAACTAGTGGGAGCTAAAATAGCAGACCCCTTCACACAGCTAGTATCTAACTGTATCGAAAAGCATTTCAGAAGTAGTTAAGTTCTACATTTTGTACTTACTTGAAACAATAAGCTTAGTTCCACTTCCAAATATTTTGACATCAGCATCCCACAGTCTTGTAATGCTTAGCAATATCTCCTGCACTACACTTTTCTTGCATAGGCTACAGAGAAACTCTGATTTAGAGATACGTGATAAATCTATTCCAGTGCAATAGCTGAATTTTCAACATTGACCAGAGTGCCATTTTTAGAAATACTTTGATTTTTGTAGTGAGTAAAAAGTCCAGGTTTTTAAAGCCAGCACTTTCTGAGAAGGAAGCAGTGCCATGCTTATTTTATAACTATGTTCTAATCCTTTTAGCTCTGAGATTTCTCTAACAAAGATCTGTTGCCTCTGGTCTATTAGGTTTTCTCTGAAGTGCCCTCTTTTTGCTCTTTTAAGAAGAAACACAGTTACATTATGATTCCCAAAGGAAGTTAAGAAAATTTACTACTTATTTGTTGTTA